GGACGTCTGACTTTAAAAACTAATTGTCTAATTACGTGCAAAGTTTACCTAAGATTTTACCTCAATTCTATTACAACGCGAGTAGTGAAATAACATAATTTATGTTGTTTCCATTCCACTAAGTCTAGGTTATGACGACGGTGTCAGATTTCTGTCATGAGCAAAAAAAAAAGTAATAGTATAGCTTGCGATTTATACATTATTAGTAGCAACAGAATTTTTAACTGTGGGTTTGCGAATAGTAATAGATATAAAATATTTAATTCATTTTCGAGCTCAGAATCAGAAAAGCTATGATTTGGAGACTTGCTCCCTGGACTTTCCTGCGATAAATGTTCTTTCGTTTCATTTTTTTGTCAATCGTCAGATTCGTGACGAAAATTTCTTGGCATATTTCTTGTATTAAACTTTGCTTACGGCAAATATTATTTTCAAAAGTTGAGAATCTCGAGGTTTTTTCCCTAATGCTCCGAATTATATCATTACTAACCTGTTCCTTATACATTGAATCCACGATCCATCGACCACCTTATCTTCCAGTGATATGGGCTCAGTTTTTAGCTGATTTACACTGACGGATGCTATATTCCTTATCAGAGTGGTCCTCGATAGGTGACGGGGAAGATGATTGGGATGTTATTGGCAATAATGAACAAACTGGAGACTGCAAGAAATCAGTAATAGTCTGATTTTGTTTCTCAATTTATCAACGGTTCGTTCCAGTTTCATGATTTTTGGCTTTAAACTCGGCATTACTATAATCTGTTTCGGGTTTGAGTTTTTGTGCTTAAGCTCAGCATTCTCGGCCACAAGTTTGGCATTTTCTTGTCTGAGTAAATCTAGTTCAGATGACATGTTTGATATTATATGATTTATATAGTTATGGATTTGTTTAAATTCCGAGTTAATTAGGATACGAGCACGAATAGATGAAATTATGAATTGCTCTGATATGTGCATTACACACGAAAAAACCATGTCATAAATAACTCACAAATTGGCGAAACTTGGCTTAATGCAATTACTTTATAAATCTTGCATTGACACGCTAATATTGTTTTCTGTTTAATATTAAGAAAATCTGACCTTTACAGAAAGATGCACATTGGATTTTCAAGATCAGTTACTCTACTAGTCACGTGCAAAAAAGAATTATTTTTGAGACGACAACTAGAATCTGAAGGGAAAATCTTTAAGAGTATTTTTTGTTCTTTTTCTTTTTGCTTTTTTCAGCTTTCCAGTTTTGGGCTTCTAGGCGTTTCTGGAATTTCGGGTATATACAACTTTAGCATCGGTATCTAGAAGAAAGTATAGTTATACCAATTCTGGTAAAAAAAATGAGCAAATTTGCACACATACAATACTCGACTTGAAAAAGTCTCCCACTATTGCCTACAACCCATGGATCTTCAACGAGGTCTTTCGATGCTTCTTCCAAAGAATTTCCGCACGGAAACAACGCATTAACTGATATGTTCCATTCGAACACGCGACCGTAACAATCTAAAAAAAGTATTCCGTCTTCGAGCTCTGCAATGATAATGATGTGATTGAAGCCATACTTTTGAATATGCTTTATAAAATCGTTAAGCAGTGATCCCTCCTTCATACAATTGGTAAAATCTGATCCTTTATCTCATCTGCGATCACGTCGATTACCATTGGTGAACTGTATTACTTAACCACGTTTTGGTACACCCGCAGCAACCACATCACATTCAGTTCCTATTTTATATTAACTCTTAAACATCTTCCAAGATGCCTCTCACTAACGAAGATCCCATATCAGACTACCTCGAGCAAATTTCGTATTCACAATTTACTGATATCAGACCGCTCCACGATTCACGCATTTTTCATGCTACATACAAACAAAGACAAACCGAGACAGTGATGCTCTTATCGCTTGGACCTATTGATGCCGAGCTTACCCGCAAGATTGCAACGACATACTCGCTTCCTACGCATCAATACACAAATCCACCCAATGTTAATTTATTCAGGCGATTTTCGATATGGCTTGAAAAACGCAATAAGCTAATAGCAGGGTTCACCAAAGCCGATGACAACAATTACTATCTGGTAGCCAGCAAGCAGTTTCAATATTATTATTCTATATGCGGGTTTTGTTCTGCATGTGGAGTGCTCAGATGTAGTCCCGTGTGGTGCACCTGTGGCCATAAGGAATTGTCCAAAGGGTGGAGTAGCGGTAATAAGAAACTTGACGAATTTATCAAGAAATCGCAAATACAAACCATTCCAAAACCACCAGGTTGAAGCCCATGAATATCATAAAAATCACTAAACTGTATTTCACCAAACTCTCGTCTATTCAAAGAATCAGCATGTTCTCTATTGAATCCTTTCAAAACCGGACGTATATCATAATTAATTACCAAATAATAAGAATCAGTTGATAAATCTCGGGTAAATCCAATAATACGGCGGATCAATTTCTCGGGATAGTCTTTGGTTAACTGATAGGCATATAAACAATAAAGTTATTGATTTCAGAATATATAATCACATTGGTAAACTCATTTATACATCAGTTGTCGACTGATCATCCAGACATACTTTGCACTGATACTTGGATTACTATCGGATTTACATATGACGAGCGGTTGAAAAAATACGCATTAATCAAACAAGAATATGGAAATGAATTGTGTTTGGCATGTACCACATATTTAAATTTTCATGTTGGCATATTTTGTACAGAGTGTGGGAATCAAAGACCTGAT